AAACAAAAAAACAGAGCAAACTAGAATGCTATTTGGCCCTAAACAGAGAGTACACAGTGGCAGAATACCTGACCACTGTGACTGACCCAAACTTAATGAAAGCTTTGACTATGTACAGACTCAGTGACCATAGCCTTGCTATTGAGAAAGGCCGCCGTAGGCAGACCTGGCTCTCAAGAGAAGACAGGCTATGTGCACACTGCCCACAAAATGAGGTGGAAACTGAGCTGCACTTCCTAACCTCCTGCCAAATGTATGACCATATTAGAGACACATATTTCCCTCAGATTACAGCGATCCACAAAGAATTCGAAAACAAACCCAATTTTGATAAACTCCCTTATCTACTGGGTGAAAAACCACAGTGTGCCATCACAGCTGCAAGATTTGTGACCTGTTGCCACAAGAAAAGGGCAACCAGTGAAGAACAAACACCATTGTAAATACAACCCATATTTATGTTTATTTATTTTCCCATTTGTACTTTAACTATTTGCACATTGTAACAACACTGTATATATACATAATATGACATTTGAAATGTCTTTATTCTTTTGAAACTTCTGAGTGTAATGTTTACTGTTAATATTTATTGTTTATTTCACTTTTGTTTACTATCTACTTCCCTTGCTTTGGCAATGTTAACACACGTTTCCCATGCCAATAAAGCCCTTAAATTGAATTGAATTGATAGTAAGGTCGCAATGACACAGAAAGCAGTTCAATGTCGGGGTACAGAGTCGCTCTCTTACCAGGATCGCGGTCCGCTCTGACCAGGGTGAAGGTGGCCGGCTCCACTTCTCTGTCCGGGACTCATCCAGCCAAGTCTCCCAGCTGTATTGGGATTCAGCTGCCAGCAGCGTTTTCATTATTTAGTCCGTTCGTAGCGGGTATGTACACGATCAACAAGATCAGTCCAAAACCAACCACTGGAAATCCATGGTTGGCAGAATGTTTGTAAACTAAGTCTACAAATTAAAAACATAAAATAACGCCGCACTGCAGGTCGCAACAGAGACGCTTCTAGCCGCCATTGTCTTAGTTACGTTCAACGTTACGTCACGTATGACGAAAGCGCGTAAGTGCAAGCCCACAGACACCCATAGAGAATGTATTGAAAGCTTTGAAATGTGAAAAAAATAGATTTTACATGACAGGCTATGAGAGACTTCTGGGCGATTTTCAACTTGACTGAAATCGCCCCAAAAACGGGCGGGGCCATTTGAAGCACGACTTTAGCCTGATTTGACATTTAGTGGCTGGCAGATCAGACGTGAACACTGATAACTGCTGTTGCCGTGATATAATTGATTAGAAAAAAAATCCCTTCCTTTTCCCGTTTGGCAGTGCGTCGCCCATATCGCCCTATTGAACAAGCCGTCCCTGACTTTGCCCATGCGTTGTCAATGGGCCGCGTGGTGCATTCTATGCGATTCTGGGACAAGGATAGCTCTCCTTCAAGGAGTGAATGGGAGTCAATTGGGCGCTAGCTCAAAAACCCAACATTAGCATGAATTTCATTAACAAGAAGTAAAACATTACAAATATTTTCTGAGATGTGAGATAATGAACTTGTTCTCTGTAATATCGTATAGCTTTGGAATGATGACATTATGTACTTTCTAGGAAAATCAGCAGTTTTCTCGACTAATGCTGCGTTCATGTGCTAGTCGGAACTAGGAAACTCAGACATTTCCGACTTGCTAACTGGTTGAACGCGGGACGTGTATAGCTACAACCAATTAGCAAGTCGGACATTTCTGAGTTTCCTAGTTCCGACTCTCACGTGAATGCAGCATCATACCCTGACTTTGAGAAGGGATTGGGTGATGATTAAAGGCGCTGCATGGTCAATCTGACATCTGCATTGGCTGTACAGCATTTATGGTGATATGGCCTCTGCAGAAGTCAGGGCATTCATAGTTATTGCGCTTTGCAAAGCAGCGCAGAGCTGTTGTGAAGGAAGTTGTTAAGGAAGTGAGTTTGTGTTTATACTGGACCTCCCGCCCTCAACTACCGCCAACCAATCATGTCAATGTGTAGCTATAAGGAGCCCTCCTCATCGTTCCAAAATTTGAGAGGTACATTTACATTTAATTTAAATTTAAGTCATTTAGCAGACGCTCTTATCCAGAACGACTTACAATTTGGTACAGAGCTCAATTTGGCCTCTGCATGCTTCCGGAGGCACCGCAATAGCGTCACACATCAATCAAGCATAAATGGGCTTTTATTGACTGAAGATGAGGCAAAGTTTGGAAAATTCAAAGTATGCGGCGTCCATCTCGGAGCCTTCAACTGCAAGGGGGCGTTGCTATTCCACTCCGTTGCGTTGTGGACGTCCCCATTGAAATTAATGACATCCAGCGCAACGTAACGAAGTGCCTATGGTTAAGAGACAATTTATGCTTGATACGAAAATGTGGTCGAAGCGCCATATGGATGGTGTGACGCAATTGTGGAGCATCTGGAGGCACGCAGAGGCCAAATTGATCTCCGTACGGCATGAGCTCTGTACCTCTCAAATTTTGTAACAATGTGGAGGGCTCCATATTCCAAGAAAGACTTCATAGGAAGTGTAATATTGCAGTTTAAACAGAAAAAGATGGGCTTTTATGCACTTGGTAATGGACCTTGTTGTTTCCCAGTGAGCCCAAGCAGGGTCATGATGGTCCGACTTTAAAACCTTCAAGAACCCCCTTCATGCGACTACCGGGCCACGCCTCAAGGGGTCACCATCCTACTTCCGATTCCAATGCAAGTTGCAGGGCAGGCAGGCCCACTGTCTGATATGCCAATTCAGGGGCGATTTTAGCATGTAAATCTTGGTGGGGCAAACAAAGAATATATGTTTTTGCCACTTGTGACAACACAACACTAAACCAGTGGCGACCCGTCATTCAGGGCAGGTGAAACACCTGTATTTTGGAGCTGCCTTACTCAACAAAGCAGAAAAGAGACCATGTTTGTATGCAGCTTTATTAACTCAGTGAATTTTTGTTTAACATTGTTTGCAAACTGATATGTGACACATATTAATGGCAAAATAACATGTAAAACAGGGACAGTGGCTTGCGAAAGTATTCACCCCCTGGCATTTTTCCTATTTTGTTGCCTTACAACCTGGAATTAAAATGGATTCTTTGGGGGGTTTGTATCATTTGATTTACACAACATGCCCACCACTTTGAAGATGCAAAATATTTTTTATTGTGAAACAAACAAGAAATAAGACAAAGTAACAGAAAACTTGAGCATGCATAACTATTCACCCCCCCAAGTCAATACTTTGTAGAGCCACCTTTTGCAGCAATTACAGCTGCAAGTCTCTTGGGGTATGTCTCTATAAACTTGGCACATCTAGCCACTGGGATTTTTGCCAATTCTTTAAGGCAAAACTGCTCCAGCTCCTTCAAGTTGGATGGGTTCCGCTGGTGTACAGCAATCTTTCAGTCATACCACAGATTCTCAATTGGATTGAGGTCTGGGCTTTGACTAGGCCATTCCAAGACATTTAAATGTTTCCACTTAAACCACTCAAGTGTTGATTTAGCAGTATGCTTAGGGTCATTGTCCTGCTGGAAGGTGAACCTCTGTCCCAGTCTCAAATCTCAGGAAGACTGAAACAGGTTTCCCTCAAGTATTTCCCTGTATTTAGCACCATCCATCATTCCTTCAATTCTGACCAGTTTCCCAGTCCCTGCCGATGGAAAAACATCCGCACAGCATGATGCTGCCACCACCATGCTTCACTGTGGGGATGGTGTTCTCGGGGTGATGAGAGGTGTTGGGTTTGCGCCAGACATTTTCCTTGATGGCCCAAAAGCTCAATTTTAGTCTCATCTGACAAGAGTACCTTTTTCCATTTGTTTGGGGAGTCTCCCACATGCCTTTTGGCGAACACCAAACATGTTTGCTTATTTTTTTCTTTAAGCAATGGCTTTTTTCTGGCCACTCTTCCTTAAAGCCCAGCTCTGTGGATTTAACCTAAAGAGGTGGGGCTCAAAACACACACACAGACATCTTTTATTTTTTTTATTTTTTACAGTGCATAAAACCAATTGTGCGACCGTGATTTCATTTAACCATTAGGTTTTTCTTCTCTCTCGCTCTCTCTCTCTCGCTCTCTCTCTCTAAATGTTTTATCGCTCTCTCTTTCTTTCCCTCCCTCATTCCCCCTCTCCGTCCCAGAGCTGGGTGGTCCTAACCAGCCGAAGGTGTCCATGGGGCTCCAGGGCCTACAGCAGTCTCTCCAGCCCCTGGCGGAACACTACCCATCCATAGGTCGACCTCCAGTCAGCCACGCCCTGACCATGCTGCGTCTCTCCCTCACAGGTCAGTCAGTCTCAGCCCCTAGAATCCATCTCCTGGACATTCTTACCTCACTATCATGGGTTGTGTAGGTCACACTGTAGCAAAACGTTTCCAACAGAAAAAGAAAACCTATGTTGTTATTGGATACAGTTAGTAAAGGTACAGTTAGTATTCCCATTTCACACAGTTTCAAAATGTTTACTGTCTACTACAACACTGGTGAGGACTATGAGATTGCAATCTCATGAGGTTGCTGTTGAGTTTGAATTGCAGGGATGTGCATAATCACATGTAGTATCAATATAATTCAGCTTTCAACACCCATGAGAGAGATCATTTTAGAGTATACACAAACAGTATAACAAACACGGAGGCAATTGCACTGACACTTTCTACAAATGCAGAATCACTTTTTCTCTTTCTTTTTCCTCCTGCTCACTCGTTCGGTGTGACAACGTAGGTGTGACCTAGAGTGACAGTCACACTTCCTCTTTTAATTATGGTGAAACCGTATTGGCCAACCTCCCTCTGCACTAGAGGAAGAGAACTCTATGAGAGAGCAAGAAGTGAAGGGTCAAACCCAGGCACTTTACCAGACAGCAGCAGTGTGCTTGTCAAATGTTAGTGTGATTGAGTGCAACTAGAGGAAATTGAGCTCATTTCCTGCTCAGTAGCTGCTGTTTGTCATGTGTACAAGTAGGCATTGCTAACATTGATGGAATTGATAGATTGATTGATAGAAGGTTGATGGAACGTTGCTGGTGGAGCGAGGAACATTTATGGGGTTGCTGTGGTAGATGGTAGTTTGGGGCTAGGCGCACTTGTGATATTTAGTCTCAAATAGAGATGGAGAGGGAAGAAGAACCCCAAGTTAAAGAGAAGGAGAACTCCAAAACCCCAGGTGAGTAACAACAAGAGAAAACAGATTGTTATCATTTGGGCCGGTTTCCAGTGCTCAGATTAAGCCTAGTCCTGGACTAAAGCATGCTCAATGGAGAATATTCTCCATCTGGGTCTGGGAAACCATCCGTTTGGGTAGAAAAGGAGGTGATAAAATGTTTCAGGGAAGGTGTGTGTGTGTTTTTGGTTTTACTATCCTTGTGGGGACCAGAAGTTCTCACAAGGATACTTCGGACAAGTTTCGCCGGTCCTCACAAGGAAAAATGCAATTTTAGGCTTAGGGGTTAGGTTTAGGGTTAGAAGTTAGGGTTGGGGAAAATAGGATTTTAAATGGGAATCAATTGTTTGGTCCCCACAAGGATAGTAAAACAAACGTGTGTGAGCGTGCGTGTGTGGTTGCATGCTACATCCTCCCAGTCAGTGAAGGATCAGTGAACCTCCTGAAATCATCCTCCATTTTGCGTGTTGGTGTGTGCCATTAGTGAAACATATACACTACCAGTCAAACGATTGGACACACCTACTCATTCAAGGGTTTTTCTTTATGTTTACTATTTTTTACATTGTAGAATAATAGTGAAGACATCAAAACTATGAAATAACACATATGGAATCATGTAGTAACCAAAACAGTGTTAAACAAATCAAAATAGATTTTATATTTGAGATTCTTCAAATAGCCACCGTTTGCCTTGATGACAGCTTTGCACACTCTTGGCATTCTCTCAACCAGCATCATGAGGTAGTCACCTGGAATGCATTTCAATTAACAGGTGTGCCTTCTTTAAAGTTAATTTGTGGAATTTATTTCCTTCTTAATGCGTTTGAGCCAATCAGTTGTGTTGTGACAAGGTAGGGGGGGTATACAGAAGATAGCCCTATTTGGTAAAAGACCAAGTCCATATTATGGCAAGAACAGCTCTAATAAGCAAAGAGAAACGACAGACCATCATTACTTTAAGACATGAAGGTCAGTCAACACGGAACATTTCAAGAACTCTTCAAGTGCAGTCGCAAAAAACATCAAGCGCTATGATGAAACTGGCTCTTATGAGGACCACCACAGGAATGGAAGACCCAGAGTTACGTCTGCTGCAGAGGATAAGTTCATTAGAGTTACCAGCCTAAGAAATTGCAGCCCAAATAAATGCTTCACAGAGTTCAAGCTACAGACACATCTCAACATCAACTGTTCAGAGGGGACTGTGTGAATCAGGCCTTCATGGTTGAATTGCTGCAAAGAAACCACTACCAAAGGACACCAATAAGAAGAAGAGACCTGCTTGGGCCAGGAAACACGAGCAATGGATATTAGACCGGTGGAAATGTGTCCTTTGGTCTGGAGTCCAAATTTGAGATTTTTGGTTCCATCCGCCGTGTCTTTCTGAGACGCGTTGTGGGTGAACGGATGATCTCCGCATGTGTAGTTCCCACCGTAAAGCATGGAGGAGGAGGTGTTACGGTGTGGGGGTGCTTTGCTGGTGACGCTGTCTGTGATTTATTTAGAATTCAAGACACAATTAACCAGCATGGCTACCACAACATTCTGCTGCGATACGCCATCCCGTCTGGTTTGGGCTTAGTGGGACTATCATTTGTTTTTCAACAGGACAATAACCCAACACACCTCCAGGCTGTGTAAGGGCTATTTTACCAAGAAGGAGAGGGATGGAGGTGCTGCATCAGATGACCTGGCCTCCACAATACCCCGACCTCAACCCAATTGAGATGGTTTGGGATGAGTCGGATGACAGAGTGAAGGAAAAGCAGCCAACAAGTGCTAAGCAAATGTGGAAACTCCTTGAAGAGTATTGGAAAAGCATTCCAGGTGAAGCTGGTTGAGAGAACGTCAAGAGTGTGCAAAGCTGTCATCAAGGCAAAGGGTGGCTATTTGAGGAATCTCAAATATAAAATATATTTTGATTTGTTTAACACTTTTTTTGGTTACTACATGATTCCATATGTGTTATTTCATAGTTTGGATGTCTTCACTATTATTCTACAATGTAGAAAATAATAAAAATAAGGAAAAGCCTTGAATGAGTAGATGTGTCCAAACTTTTGACTGGTACTATATATTTTTTTTTATTAAGCTCTTGAAACCATCAAGTCAGGGACGTCAGTCTCCATCATTTAAGATAAAATATTTTGAAGGAAAACAAATACTATTTGAACCCACTCTCGATCTCCCTCTAGAACTCTGACATGCACAGTAGGCTATAGGGCCCTGCTTTCTGTTAGACTAAGGGCTCGATTCAATCCGTATTGCCGAAGTTCAGCACTATAGCTCGCTTAATATTTCAAGGTCATTTCTGATTGAGCCGACATATGCAGCTTTTACTGTGAATGCAGTCTCCCCTAACGCGGGAACATTGCTTTGACATTTAATTTGCGCTATAGAGCTGAACTTCGCTAGAGCTTGGTTGTGTACAGTTCTACTATCTCTTAACTCTCTTCTACTGCCGGTTGAACAGAACTCTGCTAAGGTGAAAAACAAGGACTTTGTGTCTTCTGAGCAAAACATGACACACCTCACAAGCAGGATGTGGTTGACCTAAATGGAGACAGCGAGAGAGAGAGAGAGAGAGAGAGGAGAGATTAATAAAAGAGTCTGTTAACACTGGGAGTTGAGTGTTTTGTTAACTGCCCTGAAAGTGAAACACAGTCAGCTTCAACTGTAACAGGTTCCTATAGGTTTTTAGCCTCATATGCAGTCTCAGCACATGATGCTAGCCCACAAACGTCTGTTGAGAGAGACTACAGTATTAGGTTGTAGTTCACTCAGGGTTAATGTACCATCATTCAGTTTTGGGTGTCATCAACCTGTATTTTCCCTAGCCAAGTCATGTACTGTCAATGCATAGCCTGGTTAAACCAGACTGAACGCTGCACTCAGTAGTGAGCACAGCATTCAGTCTGGCCTAACCAGGCTAGGAAATTCATTCCATCATCTATGTATCAAATGAACAGAACCCCTTTGTTGGAGTTGCATTTCTCTTTTTCTCAGTTCATTTGCATTCCTTCCCATATTAGATGTTATATAAAAAGCAAATATGCTTGTCTGTCTGTCGTTCACACAAAGTTTACAACCATTCTGAGCCATCTCAGCAGTACTTAGTGTGTTTTAATGGGTGACCGACAGTGATATACGTTTTTCACCAGAGGCTGGGGAATTACAACTAATGCCTTTTACACAAACATACAATCACACATCTCAGGCCTCAATCGCCTCCACCACCACCCTTCAAACCCACACGTCTTCATTTCTTCGCACATTGTTTTATGACTGGGTGTTGGCTGTTGGTTTACCCCTTTATTTGTTATTTCAAAAAATATAAGATATTTCGTGTTTTTTTGTGTGTTTTTTTCAGATCTCTTTTTGGGAGCTGAAAAAAGCAATTTCAACTTGTGTGTAATATTTATTTTATGAAAAAATAAAGATAAAGTGAACATCTTGCTCACATTTGTCATCCATCTTTTATCCCAGATGTGAAGGTCCACAACAAATCAGAGACCAAGCGCTACAGCGAGATCTTCCGGGACTTCGATAATTTTGAACTCTCTTTGGTCAACTCGTAAGTCTGACTTATAGATTCACTCATCATGTACACTTACTACCATTGTCTCCCTCCACAATATAATCAGTCCATCATTCAGAACACCTTTACATGTTTTACATTTTAGTCATTTAGCAGACTCTTATGCAGAGCGACTTACAGTTAGTGCATTCATCTTAAGGTAGGTAGGTGAGACTATCACAGTCATAGTAAGTAAAACCTTTCCTCAATAAAGCAGTTTTCAGCAAAGTCAGTGCTAGTAAGAAAAGTACATATATTTTATTTGTTGGGGGGGGGTTGTCTGCTACTAGTTGCCAAAGAGAGGAAGTGTCTTCCTCTTACATCTATGTGTACATAACTTAGTTTTATAGGTCCTATTTAAGAGTAACAACAACTTGTAAGGCCTTATGAAGCCTTCATAACCCTTCATAATGGTTTCATAGGTGCTTCATAAATCATTCATAAGAAATTGCAATGCTATATAGAGGGTGGAAAAGGGGTTATGTCGCATTTGGCAATGCGCCAGATGTAAGGACCTGAAAGTAATACCTTTTATATATACAGAACAAAAATATTAATGCAACATGTAAAGTGTTGGTCCCATGTTTCATTAGCTGAAAGAAAAGATCCCAGAAATGTTCCATACGCACAAAAAGCTTATTTCTCTCAAATTCTGTGCACAAGTTTGTTTACATTCCTGTTAGTGAGTTATTCTCCTTTGCCAAGATAATCCATCCAGCTGACATGTGTGGCATATCAAGTAGCTGATTAATTAAGGAGCATGATCATTACACAGGTGCTCCTTGTGCTGGGGACAATAAAAGGCCATTCTAAAATGTGCAGTTTTGTCACACAACACAATGCCACAGATGTCTCAAGTTTTGAGGGAGCATGCAATTGGCATGCTGACGGCAGGAATGTCCACAAGAGCTGTTGCCAGAGAATTTAATGTTCATTTCTCTACCAAAAGCCTTCTCCAACGTCGTTTTAGAGAATTTGGCAGTACGTCCAACCGGCCTCTCAACCACAGACCACATGTAACCACGCCAACCCAGGAACTCCACATCCGGCTTCTTCACCGGCGGGATCGTCTGAAGGGGGTGGGGGGGTGCTGAGGAGTATTTCTGTCTGTGGGGAAAAACAAATTCTGATTGGCTGGGCCTGGCTGCCCAGTGGGCAGGCCTGGCTCCGAAGTGGGTGGGCCCTGGGCCCTCCCAGGCCCACCCATGGCTGCGCCCCTGCCCAGTCATGTGAAATCCATAGATTAGGGCCTAATGAATTTATTTCAATTGACTGATTTCCTTATATGAACTGGAACTCAGTAAAATAGTTGAAATTGTTGCATGTTGCGTTTATATTTTTGTTAAGGATATGGTATGAATTTGCTCCTAAATAATTTGTGAAGCATCTAGGCATTATAAAGGATTTACGAAGGCTTCATAAAGCCATTATAACATGTATCTGCCCTCTGATCCATCAGCACTGTGGAGGAGATGTTTCCAGACCCTGACTCCCAGTCCATCGCTGAGACCGTCTCTACGGAAACCACAGACAACACTGAGCTGGATCATGTGACGGTGGGGGAGCAGTACTATCAATCAATCAAGCAACTAATCAACATTATTTTATAAAGCCCTTTTTACACCAGCAGTTGTCACAAAATGCTTTACAGATCCCCAGCCTAAAAACAAACAATCAATCATTACTATGTTATCTCTGTCAATCAATCTGGTCCTGTGTAGCTCAGTTGGTAGAGCATGGCGCTTGCAACGCCAGGGTTGTGGGTTCGATTCCCATGGGGGGCCAGTATGAAAAAATGTATGCACTCACTAACTGTAAGTCGCTCTGGATAAGAGCATCTGCTAAATGACTAAAATGTAAAGAAATGTAGTCAATCACATTGCTTTCTAGCCTGGTGCTCTATTGTGTTGATACTTTTGGTAACGTTTGTACTAGCCAACAGGGGAATTATTTGAACTTAGGTTCTGCTCATATTCTGCTGATATGAAGTACAGTGTGTATCGTCTTATCTCCAAATCCATTTCTCTGTGTAATGGTCTGTATTCTGCCCTGTAGTGTGAGGATGTCTACCCCCCAGATGGTGATGACAAAGATGGAGGTCTATCAGGTATGTTTGTAATCAAATCAAAATCAAATTAAATGTATTTATGAAGCCCTTTTTACAACATCAGATGTCACAAAGTGCTTATACAGAATGTGGTGTGTTGTATGCATGTGTGTTTTTCAATTGTTTTATTTAAATTAAAATCACTTGGAATGGACTGACTCGAATTGACCCCAACCCTGGTGTGAGTAACGGAGGTGCTTCGTTAGTTCAGCGTGATGAGTAACCTTGCCAGAGACATGAAGACTTGCATTAGCTCCCACGGCTAAAACCTACTTAGGCCATCGCTCAGCAGGCTAAGAAGCATGTAGCACGCAGGAGACCCAGGTTCGAGCCCAGTTGGTAACATGTGCAAACCCTTGTGGTTTAGGCTAGACTTCAGTATCCATGGTGTGCAGCAGTGCATTTGTAAAGGCTAAGAGAGATTGCATTACATTCCAGCCAGCAGTAAGTGGAGGAAAGGGGTTATGGTTGTAATGTGTTGAAGGTCACTAGCCTCTAGATCTCTATCACCAGCACCATATCGTGTCCATTACCCATTTCAGACAGAAGATGTGGTACTGTATGTTACCTGCAAAAAACATAAGGCAATGTTTATATGGCCAGCCCCTTCTATAAGGCTATGTTTGTTTCAAACAGCCTCTTATTTACCACTTGTTTGCAGGTATACCCCTTTTATACATATCAGTTGGTAACTGGCAAATTCGGAGGGTTGGGGGGTGTTGTTAAACCATGGGGGCTGTTTGCATTTCAAATCAGGGAGGTGTTAAACAATGGAAGTGTTAACGAATTTCCCTGCAAAAAAATCTGAGAACCATTCACACAGAACTGATACCTGTATTTTGGTTATAGGGTCTGTATAAATGTAGGAATCATGACTAGGTCTTTAGGTGGCTTTTATTTTTCCATGCTTTTCTACCCCTATCCTTTTCAGACAAACAAAAAAGCCTGTATACAAATGCAGGCATATTAAATTAGTGGGATGTTGGTCTTTGTATGAAAGGGATACAAGAGTCCAAGCCATTCTCTTCTGGAAACACTGCCCGGTGAGTAACATTAATAGACAGCCAATCCAAACCAGAGTGATTAACACTAGACAAGAGCCAGGTGTGGTATGAGACTATGACTAAGTGAGGTGGGTGGGACTATTGTGGTGATGGCCAGTCAGGGTGGTTAATCTCCTCCTCTTCAACCTGCGTGATTGACACCAGACGAAAGCCAATGACTAAGTGATGTGGGCGGGACTAGTGTGGTGACAGCCAGTCACGGTGGTTAATCTCCACCTCTTCAACCTCTCTTGTTGACGTGTAATTAGCCGGTGGCGCTAATTGCCTCTGTGTTAACGAGATTAGGAGAAGACTGGAGAGGGTGGGGAGAGAGAGGATTAGAGCTGCAGACAGATGCTCTCTAGTTTACCCCTCAGACATATCCATCAAACAGGAGAGAGAGGGAGGGAGAAAGAAGGGAAGGAAGGGATGAGAGAGAGGGAGAGAAGGAGATAGAGGTAGCAGGGATGAGAGAGGAAGGGAGAAATGTGGGAGTGAGGGAGAAAGGGAGGGATAGGAGAGGTAGAGAGGGATGGGAAAAAGAGAGGGGGAGAGAGATCCCTTACGGAAAAACCACATGAATATCACGTGATCTTATGTGAAGTTAATATGATAACATGTGACAACATGAAACTACACATGTGAAAACATGATCTCATGTGAAATAAATGTGACATGGGATGCAAAAATGTCAACATGTGATACCATGAAAATACACATGACAACATTTTAAAGTTTTTAAATGCCATTCCACATGTGAGGTGAAAACATGTTATTTTCCTCACGTGAAAAGGGGGTGAATACATGTGAACATATGGTTTCATGTGTGAACAACTGACCTCATGTGACTCTTTTGTTTTCACATTTCAGCTCAACATGTGTAAACAGTTAAGGGAAGTAATCAAATGGTATGGGGGTTTAAGGTAACTTTAGCTGATCAGCTAAAAAAGTGTTCACTATGATAAATATAATAGTTTTTATTGGGTGTATTATACAAAGCTGAGATTTACTTTGAAGTCCAAAGTATAAGAATACAGGTGAAAGCAGTCATTGACACAGACATGGTGGCGTAGCAGGAAGATCGGAATGTCATGAACCAAGAGGTTGTGAGTTCAAATCCCACGAGGACATGTTAAATAATAATTATTGTATAAGTAAATGTACACACAATGTAATCATGTGTGTCAAATATGTACGTTGAAATCACTGCAACTATTTTGTGATGTTCCCGGCGACATCCTAACGACAAATATTTGTCTGCAGGGCATCATGTGAAATGTTAATCCACATGTGAAAGGTTATGTGATCATGTGAAAATCCAGGTGAGAAACCTCATGTGAAATATCATCACATGTGAAGTGTTCCCAAACCACATGGTTTCACATGTGACATTTCACATGTGAAATTTAATTTTACATGTGCAAAACATGTGAACATTTCACATGTGAAATCATCAGATTTTTCCGTAAAGGGATGGGAGGGAAAAGAGAGAAACAGACAGAAGGGAAGAGTGAGCACAGAGTGAGGATTGAAAAGAGCATTGTTCAGGCTGAGAGACAAAGCAAACTACAAAGGAGACAGAAAGGAAGACTAGTGAGATGATGGGGAAATAGGAATGAGAGGGGACATGTTAGACCAGGGTCGTGTTCAGTAGGACACAACGTAGCAAAACATTATGCAATGGAAACTGAAAAACAGTGTTTTTTTTAAATCACAACGCTCTGAAACGTTTTCCCCGTACTGAACACAGCCCACTTGTTTCTCCAGGAACTGTGTATGTATGCAGGGATGTCCTTTGACCCCATTAAACCCCAATTCCATGGACACAGACATACGTCGCCCAATGGAGATTAAGGATTACGTAGAGCAGTGTTTAAATAAGACATTAGAATGGAAACATCCTGGAGCCGTGCCTAGTCACTGTGCTGCACGCCACGGAAGGCCTCACGTCACCTACTGCAGCGCACCAGACAGGCACCTCTTCTTGGTGTAGGGTGAAGTTGCCCCTAGATGCTGATCTATTTTATTTTTTTACGATTTTATATTTTATAAACAATACAAAATATACACATACAAACAACATCATACAAACAACATCATACAAACATCAACTACATCACACCTGCCCACACCCACAAGCACACACCCCAATCTCCAGCCCCCGCATCACTTTCTGCCACATGGCCTGAAACTGCACCATTTTGATTCTATCCGTAGCCCATGCACTTTCAATATTTAAATAATTACATTTTACCATTATGTTAATGAGAGCAGATTGATTGATTTCCACGTTTTTTGTATACGTTTTTTTCAAGATGAGTGATGAGAAGAGAATCGTCCAACCCATCGGGTATCTCACTACACACCCATATGCCATGTTTTGAAATATGCAGACCGACAGATTAAAAGGAAGTTTACATTGTAATACTTCTGACAGCCAACTTTCTAGCTCCGCCCACAACTTCTGGACTTTATAATGTTCCCAGAAAGCATGGATTATTGAGTCATTATTAGTTTTACACTAGAGACATGACTCTGCCGTTGTGTTGTAGAATTTGTTAATTTTGTCTCTTGTATAATACATTCTACACATTAGTTTATACTGAATTAAGCGTACATTTTCGTTAACTGTAATTTCGGTAAAACTTTACTTAACACCCAGTGTCATAACACGTTATGACACAGTCATAACCATGCCATAATATGTCATAAGAGCTGACAGAACTTGTCATAAACTGTCATAATATGGTCAGAACACTGTCATGACCCATATATTTACACCTGTTGTGACATATACTGCATTATTTTATGGCTGGTTATGACACCTACATAAGAGTGTCAAAACCCACATTTTTTCAAATGTGTTTTTTCCCTGCCAAGAAGTTTCCTTTCGTTTCAAAGTGTATTTCTTAAGTCCTTTGTTGTTGTTGTAATGAATTCTTTACAGTCATGTTTTTTTCATCATACAGTATTTTAAATAACTTCTAGAAAATACACTATGACACTGTCATAAAGCATTATGACCGTCCTGTGTCACTTTACTTGGACTAAGAAAATACACTGTCAAGAAGTATTATGACCATCATAATCGTATAAGCCAATCACATACATTCCCTTATAAATTGGGTGGTTCAAGCCCTGAATGTTGATTGGCTGACAGCCATGGTATATCAGACCGTATACCGCGTGTATGACAAAACATTTATTTTCACTGCTCTAATTACGTTGGTAACCAGTTTATAATAGAAATAAGGCACCTCGAGGGTTTGTGGCCAATATACTACGGCTAAGGGCTGTATCCAGGCACTCCGCATTGTGTCGTGCTTAAGAACAGCCCTTAGGCGTGGTATATTGGCCATATACCACACCCCCTCGTGCCTTATTGCTTAATTATATCAGTCATCAGTCAAAAAGAGGGTGTCTTGATCCTGAAATCTTCTCCTGTATTCATCCCAGTCATCAGAAATAGAGCATTGGGGTAGGTGCATGTCTGACATCAATGTGTGCGCAATTACAATGATAGTTTAATATGGTCCATTTCAGAAAATGTTATACAACACAAACATACTGTTGACAAGTAGGCTATGGTGTAATGGAATGTTTTGCCTTGTGTAGTAGGTTTTGTGGGTTTTGACACTCTTATGTAGGGGTCATATACAGTATATCACAACAGGTCTAAATCCAGTGTTATGACCATATTATGACAGGTTATGCCAGCTGTTATGACATTATGACGCTGGGTTTCAAGTAAAGTGTTACCGTAATTTCGTTAGTTATGCTCCAACTTTCCCTCCATCTTGTGCCAACATCAGTTCTTTTTAAATCTTGGTTCCAATAGTTTATATTTTTTTCTAAGAGATTGTCAGTTGGATATGCTCTCTGCAAGTTGTTGTATATCTTCCTTATCATATGAACATCCTTTTCTGACTCAAATAAGATTCCCTAAAGGTTGCTCTGATGTCCAAAATATGTAAAATGGAGTCGTAATAACTTTTAAGTTGCATGTATTTGAAATAATTAAATACTATATTTTGGTCAGTTTGACATTTCCCTCACTAATGATTAAGGTTAGGATTTGGGGAGGGGAAGCTTATCCTAGATCTGCACCTAGGGGAAACCTCTTCTTTACCATGTTACTAAGCATATAGCTATACCTTCCCTCTGAGTGCCCTCCTCCTCTCTCTTCATTCAGTTACATCTAAAACAGTATCCTGCCCTCACCCTAACCCAACCCACTCTTCCCAATCCTAAATTCTCCCAGCTACCCCCCACCAGTTTGGAGCTGATCTGTAATAAGCCAAATGGAGGGACGATGGGTGGGGCTGCGGATAGGGGCGAGCGGTGGGGGTAGGGTGGAAGGGCTGATGAGTTGAGTGGCCCGTGCCGTTGCCTGATTTCTGTAATGCCTGTTGTCAGTCCCGTCGGGTTGACATTGATTGATCCCTGTATTGTATATGTGCGCGTGTCAACTGTGTTGTTGATCTGTGTTAGTGGGTGTCAAGGGTCAATAACAGTATGGACTGAGTTCGGAGCTTGTGTAACTAACTAGTGCTTGCACTTGTGTAACATATTCCTGATATACTGTAATTCCACTAACCTACAGCTGTGAAGTTCTCTCAACTGAGACAGAGAGACAGAAAGGGAGAGCGAGAGAAAGAGAGATTGGGAGAGGGGGGGAGAGAGAGATCATGTACAGAAAAAAATGCTGTAAGAAGGAGCACCAATAATCAGTTTGTGCTGAGCTCTAACCTGTTCCTCACCCCATCAACCCTCATAGTCCTCCTGACCAGGGTATTTCTCGCAAACACACACACACCAGGAGGTAAAACCTTGCTGTGATCTAAAGCCTGTCACTCCACAATCTGGATAATCCCTAGTCCCAGAAGCCAGCACAGGCAGAGCAGAGGGAGGGGGGACACGCACACACACACACACACACACACAGGTGGCACAGGGAAGTGTGAAGGGGTGCCCACAAGAGAAGGAGACAGGGAGCAAGAGCGAAAGAGAGGTCAACGCAGCACAACAGTCGGCCAGAAAGTCTTAATCGTTTTTGTGGATTTTGCTCAGACATGGAGTTATTTGTTTCAAGAGAGAAACCTGTTCTATGCTCTGTAGGAAAGTATTTTCTCTGCTCTCACTCTTGGAACTGAGAGGAGTGTAGGCCACAATACATCTGTGTTGGAGAAGAAGAAGTGAAACAGGAATTAGACTTGTCAGAAGAGTTCAGTATTGATAGATCCAATGATCTATTTCTGTGCATGCAGCTCGACTGTGGACCGATCAAAGAAGTCAAAGGACAGCGGTACTGATAGTGATGTTGCAAGAGAACGAGTGAGGGGAAAAAGAGGTCTGAAAGACCGGGGGAAAGAGAGAGTAGAAAGGAGAGTGAGGGAGGAAGGGAGAAAGCACATGACATGCGTTGCAGGATTGTTGCACATTGCCATCCGCTGTGAGTCAGAGGAGGAAGACAACAGAGAGAGAGAGCGAGGGAGCAGCTGACTGACTTCAGACTGCTGTCAATCACACCACCCTGACTTCCATAACAACCACAACACAAGATGTTGCCATGTTGATTACAGCACTCTGGCACCAAAGAGTTGCCACGGTGATCTTCTCAGACCGTCACATTTTCTCTCTCTCTCTGACAGAGGAGGGGAGCGGTAGAACAGGTGCTGGAGGGGGGAGGAGCCAGGGAAAGGAGAGGAGGTGGAGCTAAAAAGCCTGTTTGGGACCCTCAGCCAATCCCTTTCTCTCTTTTCCTTTCTTCACTTCTGTCTGTTTAGCCCTGGAAGCAGCTGGTCTAGACTGGAAAGGAGAATGTCATTGGGACATTTAGATTTTCCCACGTGATGACCTCTTCCTATGCGTGCTTTGAGATGACCAACCTATGACCACACCTCCGCCCGTGTTGGTGTAGTTGTGACCACTTGTGCTGAGACCGAGACCCTGTGGACAACAGCAGCACTTGAACCTTGAGGACTCTGAGGACTAGCCCTGATGACCAGTCGTTCTCAGTCTCTCTTCTCCATAGAGTTTGTTTGGCTAAACCACAAACCTGTTTTGGAAACAGAGCTATGTTTCTGATGAACTCACGGAACTGAGAAATAGGAGATACCCTTTTCTGTCTGTTCTCTTTTATTCCATTGTTGTTGTTTCTTGGATGACACATTATTCGGATTACACATTTCTGATAGTATGGAACACAAAGCATACCCGTGAGCCCAGCTTTTCCCCTGGGAATCGGGGGAGAGGGGTCTGTATTGGACGCCCCCCGTGGGGGTCCAGACTGCCCCGTTGTGTGTGTGTTTTGGGGTAAAAAGCCCTCCTGTCTGTGTGTTATCAGGGTGAGGTAGGGAGGATATGCAGTGATGCTGATGTACTCACTCTCAGCCCAGGAAGCGGACCTGGCCCTGTGTCGCTGTGAGGGAGGCGTGGAGCTGGCCCTGCAGTATGCCAAGATGTGGTGCCGCTATGCCAAAGACCTGTTGGCCTGGATGGAAAAGAGAATCAGCCTGGGTGAGTGGAGACGTGGGTGTGTTTGTTTCTGTGTCTGTCTGCCTGCTTGTCAGTCTGTATGTCTGTCAGTCTGTCTGTCTCATATTCATATTTGCATATCTTACATTGACATAAAAACATTATTTAATTAAAGTTAATTGCACCAATCTCAAATTAGGGCATGGTCCATAGTGTGTCACTGCAATGTGGTACAGACTCATTCAAGGTAACAGATGGACACAACTACACAAGTTTAACATATTCACAAACACATATATTTGTAAATATGTGCTTGCATGTAAACAATGTGCTTTGCATGTAAACAAATGAAATAGTTCACATACAGTGCCTTGCAAAAGTATTCATCCCCCTTGGCGTTTTTCCTATTTTGTTGCATTACAACCTGTAATTTAAATGGATATTTTTATTTGGATTTCATGTAATGGACATACACAAAATAGTCCAAATTGGTGAAGTGAAATGAAAAAAATAACTTGTTTCAAAAAATTCAAAAAAAAAAGGAACGGAAAAGTGGTGCGTGCATATGTATTCACCCCCTTTGCTATGAAGCCCCTAAATAAGATCTGGTGTAACCAATTACCTTCAGAAGTCACATAATTAGTTAGATTGCACACAGGTGGACTTTATTTAAGTGTCACATGATCTGTCACATGATCTCAGTATATATACACCTGTTCTGAAAGGCCCCAGAGTCTGCAACACCACTAAGCAAGGGGCACCACCAAGCAAGTGGCACCATGAAGACCAAGGAGCTCTCCAAACATGTCAGGGACGAAGTACAGATCAGGGTTGGGTTATACAAAAATATCAGAAACTTTGAACATCCCATGGAGCACCATTAAATCCATTATTAAAAAATGGAAAGAATATGGCACCACAACAAACCTGCCAAGAGAGTGCCGCCCACCAAAACTCACGGACCAGGCAAGGAGGGCATTAATCAAAGAGGCAACAAAGAGACCAAAGATAACCCTGAAGGAGCTGCAAAGCTCCACAGCGGAGATTGGAGTATCTGTCCATAGGACCACTTTAAGCCATACAATCCACAGAGCTGGACTTTACGGAAGAGTGGCCAGAAAAAAGCCATTGCTTAAATAAATAAATAAGCAAACACGTTTGGTGTTCGCCAAAAGCCATGTGGGAGACTCCCCAAACATATGGAAGAAGGTACTCTGGTCAGATGAGACTAAAATGTAGCTTTTTGGCCATCAAGGTAAACACTATGTCTGGCGCAAACCCAACACCTCTCATCACCCCGAGAACACCATCTCCACAGTGAAGCATGGTGTTGGCAGCATTGTGCTGTGGGGATGTTTTTCATCGGCAGGGACTGGGAAACTGGTCAGAATTGAAGGAATGATGGATGGTGCTAAATACAGGGAAATTCTTGAGGGTAACCTGTTTCAGTCTTCCAGAGATTTGAGACTGGGACAGAGGTTCACCTTCCAGCAGGACAATGACCCTAAGCATACTGCTAAAGCAACACTTGAGTGGTTTAAGGGGAAACATTTAAATGTCTTTAAAAAGCCCAGACCTCAATCCAATTGAGAATCTGTGGTATGACTTAAAGATTGCTGTACACCAGCGGAACCCATCCAACTTGAAGGAGCTGGAGCAGTGTTGCCTTGAAGAATGGGCAAAAATCCCAGTGGTTAGATGTGCCAAGCTTATAGAGACATACCCCAAGAGACTTGCAGCTGTAATTGCTGCAAAAGGTGGCTCTACATAGTATTGACTTTGGGGGGGTGAATAGTTATGCACGCTCAAGTTCTGTTATTTTTTCTTATTTCTTGTTTGTTTCACAAAAATTTTTATTTTGCATCTTCAAAGTGGTAGGCATGTTGTGTAAATCAAATGATACAAACCCCCAAAAAATCAATTTTAATTCCAGGTTGTAAGGCAACAAAATAGGAAAAATGCCAAGTGGGGTGAATACTTTCGCAAGCCACTGTACCAAATTCTCAAGACATAAGATAAACAAGAATGATTTTAGGACAACACGAAAGGCTCTCTTATCCCTCTGTCAAAAGTTGTTTTGCTGGTATGGAACTGCAGTAAATACAGCAACCAAAGCTCTTCTCCTAGGAAAGACTAGCAGTCAGTCACTCTATTCCTGGAAAAGACAACAGAGTCTAAAGTAGGCCTACCCTGCCATTAGAGAATGTGTGTTTATTCCGCACCTGTAATAGGATAATAGACCTTGTGGTTGAACACTGTGTGGATGGATAAACAGTATGCTCCACAGTACCCTCTGGTGGTAGAACTTAGGTATTACAAGGACTGTTATAGGGACCGTTTACATTCCCAGTGAGCAAAACTGGTTGAAAAGATATCAGAGAAAATAATTGTCAGTTAACCATTTCAGGGACAGCAAGAGATCACGGACTGGTTCCGTGAACCCTTAGGTTGAGAAAACACTGTTAGGGTAATATGGAGCGGTATAACCTACCCTGTGATAACAACAACAACAACAAAGTAGATCTGTATAGTTGGTAGCCAATGAGGATAACATGGAGCGGTCAAGCCTCTCCCCTCAGAGGAACCCCACAGAGACTACAAGGCTTACAGGGCAGATTAACCAGGCCGCAGCAGGAGAATGGACAGGATGGACAGCCTACTGTAGCCTTCTGTAGTGTAATGTACTGTGCTATACCATACTGTAATATACTGTACTGTAGTATACCGTTACTGCACTGTTCTGTACTGTAGGAGGGCAAAGAGATCAGCTCACCAAGGTGCTGCCAAGCAGACCTGTGTTTGGATAGCTGTGTATAGGAAATTGAGAGAGGTCAGAGTGACAATGTAGGGAAGTGGTCAACATAGAGGGAAAGGTCTGAGCCAGTGGTCAGAGGTCTGAGCCACTGTGGACAGTGGTCAGTTGAATGCAGTGGAGGCTGGTGGGAAGAGCTATAGGAGGAAGGGCTCATTGGGCTGGAATGGAATAAATGGACAAGTATCACACGCCAAACCTATGTAAACCACGTTTGATATAGTTTGTACTAAAATCAATCACATGTTTCATCATACTGACTTATTCTGGTCTGTTTGCAGAGCAAGAGTTTGCCAAGAACATCATAAAGGCAGCAGAAACAGCTAAGTCCTGTGTGGCCCAGCAGGTATGGATGCTTTTGTTGTCTCTCATGTGTATGATATTGTATACTGTAGGTTGTACATGTGATGATGTGTACAATATTGCATAGAAACATTAAATTCATATCAGATTACTCTTTAGGCCTAATATTAGCTACCTTGGTGGAATGCACTGAAAGACGCTGTGCATAAAAGCATCTGCTAAATTACCAATATAAAATGTATTACAGTGCCTTCAGAAAGTATTCACATCCCTTGACTTTTTGCACATTTTGTTGTGTTACAGCCTGAATTTAAAATTGATTAAATCTCTCTGGCCTACACACAATATCCCATAATGTCAAAGTGGAATTATGTTTTTAGAAATAATTAATTAAAAATGGAAATCTGAAATGTCAAGCCTAAATAAGTTCAGGAGTAAAAATGTGCTTAACAAGTCACATAATAAGTTGCATGGACTCACTCTGTGTGCAATAATAGTGTTTAACATGATTTTTGAATGACTACTTCATCTCTGTACCCCCCACATACAATTATCTGTAAGGTCCCTCAGTCGAGCAGTGAATTTCAAACACAGATTCAACCAGAAAGACCAGGGAGGATTTACATTTACGTCATTTAGCAGACGCTCTTATCCAGAGCGACTTACATGAGCAATTAGGGTTAAGTGCCTTGCTCAAGGGCACCGACAGATTTTTCACCTAGTCGGCTTGGGGATTAGAACCAGCGACCTTTCGGTTACTGGCACAACGCTCTTAACCACTAAGCTACCCACTGCCCAATGCCTCGCAAAGAAGGGCACCTATTGGTAGATGGGTAAAATAAAAAATAACGTTGAATATCCCTTTGAGCATGGTGAAGTTATTAATTACACTTTGGATGGTGTATCAATACACCCAGTCACGTGGCAAAGCACTCAGTTGCCGGAGAGAAAGGAAACCGCTCAGGGATTTCACCATGAGGCCAATGGTAAATTTAAGTGTAATGGCTGTGATAGGACAAAACTGAGGATGGCTCAACAACATTATAGTTACTCCACAATACTAACCTAATTGACAGAGTGACAAGAAGGAGGCTTGTACAGAATAAAACTATTCAAAAACATGCATCCTGTTTGCAACAAGGCACAAAAGTAATACTGCAAAAAATGTGGCAAAGCATTTCACTTTTTGTACTGAATACAAAGTGTGATGTTTGAGGCAAATCCAATATAACACATTACTGAGTACCACTCTACATATTTTCAAGCATAGTGGTGGCTGCGTCATCTTTTGGGTATGCTTGTGATCAATAAGGACTGGGGAGTTTTTCAGGATAAAAAAGAAACGGAATGGAGCTAAGCACAGGCAAAATCCTAGAGGAAAACCTGGTTCAATCTGCTTTCCATCCAACAGACACTGGAAGATTAATTTACCTTTCAGCAGGACAATAATCTAAAACACAAGTCCAAATCTACACTGGAGTTGAATGTTCCTGTGTGGCCGAGTTACAGTTTTGACTTAAATCTACTTGAAAATCTATGGCAAGATCTGAAAATGGTTGTCCAGGAATGAGCTTGAAGAATTTTGAAAAGAATAATGGGCAAATGTTGCACAATCCAGGAGTGGAAAGATCTTAGAGACTTACCCAGAAAGACTCACAGCTGTAATTGCTGCCAAAGGTGCTTCTACAAAGTATTGACTCAGGGGTGTGAATACTTTTGTAAATTAGATATTTCATTTTCATTTTCAGTAATTTTACACAACAAAATATGGAATAGGTCAAGGGGTATGAATACTTTCTGAAGTATTGCATAGAAACATTATTTCATTAATTTCACCACTCTCTCTACATATTCTCTGAAATACTGTATATCTAATATCTCTAATATAACTGAAACATATCTAAATAGCGTATTTAAATGATATCTATAACCTGGTTCTTACTGTACTGTTGTTGCAGGACATGATGCCTCTACAGTACATCTACACCATGGCCCTAGAGTACGATGTGAAGACCAGCCAGTCTACTAAACAGACATCAGAACTGCTGCAGCGACGCTGCTACCAGGTACTACAGACAGACTGACGAGCAGACAGGCAGACGAGCAGACAGGCAGACAGGCAGACAGGCAGGAGAACTGCTACCACACAATTAGCAAGCCTACTCAACGTGTCAAAAAACATTCCTGTATGCAAGAAAATGTGGAATAATGTGTAGACTGATTTAGTATGATGTGTTTAATCCTATGTCTTTATCCTGAAGGCCCTGGCAGCCAAGAAGAATGAGATTGATAAGTGGCGCAAGGAGTTCAAGGAGGAGTGGTCCAAAGAACAGAAGAGGATGGTGAGTGCTGTTTTTTTGGCCACTACTGTGTGCGTGCATGCACGTGCGTGCGTGTTTAACAGCTTCTCCCATTGATCAGAACATTGCATTAACAGCTTCTCTCATTGGTCAGAACAATGCGGTTACAGCTTCTCTCATTGGTCAGAACAATGCAGTAACAGCTTATCTCATTGGTCAGAACAATGCGGTAACAGCTTCTTCCATTGGTCAGAACAATGCGGTAACAGCTTATCTCATTGGTCAGAACAATGTGGTAACAGCTTATCTCATTGGTCAGAACAATGTGGTAACAGCTTCTCCCATTGGTCAGAACAATGCGGTAACAGCTTCTCTCATTGGTCAGAACAATGCAGTAACAGCTTCTCTCATTGGTCAGAATGAGGCGGTGGCGGCTCTGAAGAAGGCTCGTCAGCAGTACCTGCAGCGCAGCGAGGACCTGGAGAAGACCAAGGCTGTGACGGCCAAGGCCGGGGACGAGCTCACAGCGGGACACAAGACCCTGGACAAGAGGAGGAAGTCACGCGACGACGCACAGTCAAAGGTGTGGTGCAGCGGGTCCAACCGACACATTGAGTTCACTGAAACATATCCCTTAATGTTTTTGGTTCCAGTTGTTTTTTTTTGTTGTTTTTTTACAGGAAACATTTTTTTATATTTTTTGTCATCATGTAACTCACTGTGCCTATCTCCCTCTCTCTTTCTCCCACTCTCTCTCCCTCTCCGTCTCTTGTCCATCTCTCGCTCCCCCCCCCCCCCCCCCCCCCCCACAACCAGGTGATGGAGGCAGAGATGCAGTACAGACAGTGTGTGTGTGAGGCCCAGGACCACCAGGATGAGCTGGAGAGAGTGAAGGAGAAAATCATAGTTCACACCCGCAAACTAATCTGCCAGGGGGACACTGTGCTCAAGGAGGTGGGTGTCCAAGCCTATTGAAGATAGACATTCCCTGTGCTGGATGCAACAAGTGGAGTGTCTGTCTGTATTGCATCTCAGCCTCCATCACCTGGTTGATAGTGATAGCATAAGAGTAAACAGACTCAAGGCAAGCACTTAGCAGCCGTTTCATTTAGTCTTTAAATTTGTATTTAATTTTTTTTTAGTAGACGCTCTTATCCAGAGCAACTTACAGTTAGTGAGTGCATACATTTTTATACTGGCCCCCCGTGGGAATCAAACCAACAACCCTAGCGATGCAAACGCCATGCTCTACCAACTGAGCTACATCCCTGCCGGCCATTCCCTCCCCTACCCTGGACAACGCTGGGCCAATTGTGCGCCGCCCCATGGGTCTCCCGGTCGCGGCCAGCTACGACAGAGCCTGGATTCGAACCAGGATCTCTAGTGGCACAGCTAGCACTGCGATGCAGTGCCTTAGACCACTGCGCCACTCGGGACTGTCAATGCTTTTGATTCAAACAATCACCCCAACAAACAAAAAAACATATTAAAATACGGTCCAGGTCTCCTTTGCTAAATAATATATTAATATAATATATGTCATTTAGCAGACCCTTTCATCCAAAGCAACTTAGTCATGCGTGCGTAAATTTTACATACTAGTGGTCCCAAGAGTTTAACCGACTATCCTGGCGTTGCAAGCACTATACTCTACCAACTGAGCTACAGAGGTATCTTGAGTTCAATGGGACTGGATGAATAATGTTTAAATAAACGAAATGAATGTAATCCCTCATATCATGTACCTCTACCACCCCTAGGCCACAGTGAACATGTTCTACTTCCAGCGTCAGCAGACGGAGCCGGTTCCACTGGGTTACCACAACTTGGAGGTGACCTGCAGGCCGTGTGAACCCGGGGAGCCCTACCTGCTCTACATCTTCAGGAAGAGAAGCCAAGAACAGCCCCTACAAACGTTCACCTTCCAGGAGTTTGTCCCTCAGAACAAGAGGTAAGAACGGATGGATGATGTGTCCTGTTCTAGGTAGGCTACAGCTCTAATGGATGATACTGTTTGTCCCATTCGTGCCTATTGTCTTTTACAGTATTTAGAGTTGCTGTCAAGATTGTATTTGTAAATGTTAATTGTGTGTGTGCTCATGCTTGCCTGTGTGTTTGTGTGTGCGTGCGTGCGTCCGAATTTGTGTGTGGCACCTCCAAGTGGCCGTCGTAAGACCATCAACCCCATCAGCTCTCTACAGGACTCCTTCTCCCTGCCTGAAGAAAGTCTGGTTAAGCGTAAGGGCTACAGTGACAGTGAGAGCATAGGAGGCAGTCTGGAGTCTCTGTCCAGCCCAGGTAAGCCTGTGTGCTTCATTGGACAGATTTCATTTAATCATGCTCAGAAGATTGACCAAACAAACATCGATTTCATAATTGCTAGTGGAGAGAAATAATGTGTTTGCTATGAAGCTTACGGGAAACTCACCTTGTCCTGTTTGTCTGGTCCCTCTCCCGCTCTGTGTGTCTTACCCACCCTGTAGCCCATGGCAACAGGAGGCTTCCTAAAGCCCCCTCCACAGGGACCATGTCATCAGACGACTTGGATGAGAGGGACATGGGCACCGTCCTGGAAGGAGGTGAATGTCACCGTCATCACCTAACTCATACAATAGACGGCAACTAATGGCTCTCTATACGCAAATGCTCCTGCTGAATTCCGAATCTACCCCTAACCCAGTGTTTCCCAAACTCGGTCCTCGGGAACCCAAGGGGTGCATGTTTTGGTTTTTGCCCTAGCACTACACAGCTGATTCAGATAACCAACCAACTCATCATCAAGCTTTGATTCTTTTAAATCAGCTGTGTAGTGCTAGGACAAAAAAACTAAACGTGCACCCATTGGGGTCCCCAGGACCGAGTTTGGGAAATGCTGCCCTAACCCCTACCTACACCCTAGCCACTCCTGTAGATCTGAGAGGATTAGATAGATATTATCATTGTGGCAATTGCTTCTTGACTACTGATTGGCTAGGTGGAAATGTCGTCATATTCTTCCACTCGTCCAATCCTCTCAGGTCTACAGGAGTGGCTAGGGAGTAGGGTTCTGTTTGGCAATAGGGGTACATTTGGTGGGTAGTGTTTCCCACCATGACATGTACACTGCCAAGTATGACTGAGTCCTGTCCTGCGGTTCCTCATAGATTATGTCGACTCCACTCCAGAGGGGAACGGTGCGGTAGGGAAGGTACGGACTACGTCCCGAGCCGCGCTGACACACCGACTCAGGAAGATGAAGAGCAAGATGGTGAAGTGCAAACAGTGTGACAACTACATCGTGGTCAACGGCATCGAGTGTGAGGAGGTGAGAAAGAGGAGAAATAGAAGGATGGAAGGAGAGAAGAACAGTTGACAGACACTTACAGTGGGGGAAAAAAGTATTTAGTCAGCCACCAATTGTGCAAGTTCTCCCACTTAAAAAGATGAGAGAGGCCTGTAATTTTCATCATAGGTACACGTCAACTATGACAGACAAATTGAGGAAAAAAAATCCAGAAAATCACATTGTAGGTTTTTTTATGAATTTATTTGCAAATTATGGTGGAAAATAAGTATTTGGTCACCTACAAACAAGCAAGATTTCTGGCTCCCACAGACCTGTAACTTCTTCTTTAAGAGGCTCCTCTGTCCTCCACTCGTTACCTGTATTAATGGCACCTGTTTGAACTTGTTATCAGTATAAAAGACACCTGTCCACAACCTCAAACAGTCACACTCCAAACTCCACTATGGCCAAGACCAAAGAGCTGTCAAAGGACACCAGAAACAAAATTGTAGACCTGCACCAGGCTGGGAAGACTGAATCTGCAATAGGTAAGCAGCTTGGTTTGAAGAAATCAACTGTGGGAGCAATTATTAGGAAATGGAAGACATACAAGACCACTGATAATCTCCCTCGATCTGGGGCTCCACGCAAGATCTCACCCCGTGGGGTCAAAATGATCACAAGAACGGTGAGCAAAAATCCCAGAACCACACGGGGGGACCTAGTGAATGACCTGCAGAGAGCTGGGACCAAAGTAACAAAGCCTACCATCAGTAACACACTACGCCGCCAGGGACTCAAATCCTGCTGTGCCAGACGTGTCCCCCTGCTTAAGCCAGTACATGTCCAGGCCTGTCTGAAGTTTGCTAGAGTGCATTTGGATGATCCAGAAGAGGATTGGGAGAATGTCATATGGTCAGATGAAACCAAAATAGAACTTTTTGGTAAAAACTCAACTCGTCGTGTTTGGAGGACAAAGAATACTGAGTTGCATCCAAAGAACACCATACCTACTGTGAAGCATGGGGGTGGAAACATCATGCTTTGGGGCTGTTTTTCTGCAAAGGGACCAGGACGACTGATCCGTGTAAAGGAAAGAATGAATGGGGCCATGTATCGTGAGATTTTGAGTGAAAACCTTACATCAGCAAGGGCATTGAAGATGAAACGTGGCTGGGTCTTTCAGCATGACAATGATCCCAAACACACCGCCCGGGCAATGAAGGAGTGGCTTCGTAAGAAGCATTTCAAGGTCCTGGAGTGGCCTAGACAGTCTCCAGATCTCAACCCCATAGAAAATCTTTGGAGGGAGTTGAAAGTCCGTGTTGCCCAGCGACAGCCCCAAAACATCACTGCTCTGCTCTAGAGGAGATCTGCATGGAGGAATGGGCCAAAATACCAGCAACAGTGTGTGAAAACCTTGTGAAGACTTACAGAAAACGTTTGACCTGTGTCATTGCCAACAAAGGGTATATAACAAAGTATTGAGAAACTTTTGTTATTGACCAAATACTTATTTTCCACCATAATTTGCAAATAAATTCATTAAAAATCCTACAATGTGATTTTCTGGATTTTTTTTCCTCATTTTGTCTGTCATAGTTGACGTGTACCTATGATGAAAATTACAGGCCTCTCTCATCTTTTTAAGTGGGAGAACTTGCACAATTGGTGGCTGACTAAATACTTTTTTCCCCCACTGTATGTGGCAGCCTCTTAAATGCTAAAAGTAGAACATTATTGCCTGGTTCACAGTCACACTATAGGGCCTAACCGAGCCAAGCTGAACCAAGCTGTACTGGCCTGGTTTGGTTCTCTATCCTCATAGTTGCGCCAGCACAGTATGGTTCAGGTTGACTCTATAGTGTGAACCAGGTATATAGGGTGTGATTTGAGCTCACCCTGTGGTTTGCTAATCCATGTCCTCTGTCCCGCCTGCCATCTCTGTAGTGTGGCGTGGCAGTTCATAGGAAGTGTCTGGAGGTGTTACAGCATGAGTGTGAGAACAGGAAGGGCATTCTGTTTGGGGTGGGTTTCTCCCTGTTGCCCCGGGACCGGCCTGATGAAGTGCCCTTCGTGGTCCAGCTCTGCACGGCTGAGATAGAGAGCAGGGCCCTCACTCTACAGGTACTGTATTTACCTGGTTGTAATATGGTTTCGAATAAGTACTGAAGCAAACAGGAAAACTGTTTTACAGAAGCGACAGTACAGTGCCCTTCTCTCAATCCCTCTCTCTTTCTCCTTCGTTCCCTCCCCTCTCTCCCTCCATCCATCCCTCCCTCCCACCCAGGGGGTGTATCGTATCAGTGGGTCGAAGCCTCGTATCCAGAAGCTGTGTCAGGTCTTCGAGACCCAGAGGGACCAGGTCGACCTCTCTGAACTTTCACCTCATGACGTCACCTCAGTCCTCAAACACTTCTTCAAGGAGGTACAACTTCACTGTTTCCCAGACAACAAAGAAAATGGATATTACAGACAATATACTGTAGAGCCAACGATATAGTTAATACAGACAATATAGAGTCGAATGGATTCTGACTTGAGATACAGTCATACACTTTTATACACTGTTATTTAAACTCTCACACAAAGCTCCCCTTCATGATTATGCCAAACTATATGGACATATCTTAACTCAGGATTCCCCATTTAGTGAACATCATGTGGAACAGCCCTATTGTCAGTCTATGCATCGAAGCTAATAAGTATTTTTTATTATTATTATTATTATTATTATTATTATTATTATTATTATTATTATGTGTTAATTAATTGTTAATTGTAATCCATTGTTATTATTCATTAGTAATAAAACCATCTTCCTCCTCACACAGCTTCCAGAGCCGCTGTTGACCTTTGACCTGTACAATGACTTCATCGGTGTGGGCAAAGAGATCCAGCGTCTCAGTGAGAAGGAGGCGACAGCAGAGACTCCTGGGATAGTGGAGGACCTCAGATATAACCTGAGAGACCTGCTGGAGAGACTGCCCCCGTACAGCTACTACACACTGCATCATATGATGCGTCACCTCCACAGGTACTACTCTACTACACACTGCATCATATGATGCGTCACCTCCACAGGTACTGGGTGCTCCTGAGTGGCGCAGTGGTCTAAGGCACTGCATCGCAGTGCTAACTGTGCCACTAGAGATCCTGGTTCGAATCCAGGCTCTGTCGCAGCCGGCCGCGACCGGGAGACTCATGGTCGGCGCACAATTGGCCCAGCGTCGTCCTGGGTAGGGGAGGGAATGGCCGGCAGGGATGTAGCTCAGTTGATAGAGCATGGCGTTTGCAACGCCAGGGTTGTGGGTTCGATTCCCACGGGGGGCCAGTATAAAAAAATATGTATTCACTAACTGTAAGTCGCTCTGGATAAGAGCGTCTGCTAAATGACTAAAATGTAAATGTAAATACTACTCTACTACACACTGCATCATATGATGCGTCACCTCCACAGGTACTACTCTACTACACACTGCAGCATATGATGCATCACCTCCACAGTGCTATGCATAATGGCGCTGGAGGGGATGGCTGGCGTTTTACAGGCTCCTAACCAACTGTGCTATTTTGTTAGTTTTTTCACGTTGTTTGTAACTTCTTTTTTAACTTATTGTGTACATAATGTTGCTGCTACCTTCTCTTATGACCGAAAATAACTTCTGGACATCAGAACAGCAATTACTCACCTTGCAAGGATATACTGCTTTCTCGAGAACGGGCCCAAATCCCCGTCATTTACGAGGAAGAAAAGACGGAGAAAAAGGGGGCGGAGGTCGGAGGTCGGGCTGCCTTCTGAGAATTCATAGCCGAGTGAATAAACTTCCACTACCATCCATTCTATTGGCCAACGTGCATTCATTTTTCCATGCATCGGCAGGACAGAGAAGCTACGTCTGGTAAGACGAGGGGCGGGGGTGTGTGTCTATTTGTCAATAACAGCTGGTGTCTAATATTAAAGAAGTCTTGAGGTATTGCTCGCCTGAGGTAGAGTATCTCATGATAAGCTGTAGACCACACTATCTACCAAGAGAGTTCTCATCTATGTTATTCGTAGCCGTCTATTTACCACCAGAAACCGATGCTGGCACTAACACCGCACTCAAGGAGCTGTATAAGGTCATAAGCAAACAAGAAAATGCTCATCCAGAAGCGGCGCTCCTAGTGGCCGGGGACTTTAATGCAGGCAAACTTCAATCCGTTTGACCTAATTTCTACCAGCATGTCACATGTGCAACCAGAGGGGAAAAAAACTCTAGACCACCTTTACTCCACACACAGAGACACATACAAAGCTCTCCCTCCATTTGGCAAATCTGACCATAATTCTATCCTCCTGATTCCTGCTTACAAGCAAAAACTAAAGCAGGAAGTACCAGTGACTCGCTCAATACGGAAGTGGTCAAATGACGCGGATGCTACGCTACAGGACTGTTTTGCTAGCACAGATTGGAATATGTTCCGGGATTCATCCAATGGCATTGAGGAGTATACCACCTCAGTCATCGGCTTCATCAATAAGTGCATCGACGACATCGTCCCCACAGTGACCGTACGTACAGTGGGGAGAACAAGTATTTGATACACTGCCGATTTTGCAGGTTTTCCTACTTACAAAGCATGTAGAGGTCTGTAATTTTTATCATAGGTACACTTCAACTGTGAGAGACACATTGAGTTCACTGAAACATATCCTTTAATTTTTTTGGTTCCATTTTTTTTTCTTCAGGAAAATGATGATTGTTATATTTTTTGTCATCATGTAACTCACTGTGCCTATCTCCCTCTCTCTTTCTACCACTCTCTCTCCCTCTCCGTCTCTCATCCTAAAACAAAAATCCAGAAAATCACATTGTATGATTTTTAAGTAATTAATTTGCATTTTATTGCATGACATAAGTATTTGATCACCTACCAACCAGTAAGAATTCCGGCTCTCACAGACCTGTTAGTTTTTCTTTAAGAAGCCCTCCTGTTCTCCACTCATTACCTGTATTAACTGCACCTGTTTGAACTTGTTACCTGTATAAAAGACACCTGTCCACACACTCAATCAAACAGACTCCAACCTCTCCACAATGGCCAAGACCAGAGAGCTGTGTAAGGACATCAGGGATAAAATTGTAGACCTAAACAAGGCTGGGATGGACTACAGGACAATAGGCAAGCAGCTTGGTGAGAAGGCAACAACTGTCGGTCTCCTGAGTGGCGCAGTGGTCTAAGGCGCCGCATCGCAGTGCTAACTGTGCCACTAGAGATCCTGGTTCGAATCCAGGCTCTGTCGCAGCCGGCCGCGACCGGGAGACTCATGGGCGGCGCACAATTGGCCCAGCGTCGTCCAGGATAGGGGAGGGAATGGCCGGCAGGGATGTAGCTCAGTTGATAGAGCATGGCGTTTGCAACGCCAGGGTTGTGGGTTCGATTCCCACGGGGGGCTAGTATAAAAAAAAATAAAAAATAAAAATGTATTCACTAACTGTAAGTCGCTCTGGATAAGAGCGTCTGCTAAATGACTCAAATGTAAAATGTAAATGTTGGCGCAATTATTAGAAAATGGAAGAAGTTCAAGATGACGGTCAATCACCATCGGTCTGGGGCTCCATGCAAGGTCTCACCTCGTGGGGCATCAATGATCATGAGGAAGGTGAGGGATCAGCCCAGAACTACACGGCAGGACCTGGTCAATGACCTGAAGAGAGCTGGGACCACAGTCTCAAAGAAAACCATTAGTAACACACTACGCCGTCATGGATTAAAATCCTGCAGTGCACGCAAGGTCCCCCTGCTCAAGCCAGCGCATGTCCAGGCCCGTCTGAAGTTTGCCAATGACCATCTGGATGATCCAGAGGAGGAATCGGAGAAGGTCATGTGGTCTGATGTTTGGAGGAAGAAGAAGGATGAGTACAACCCCAAGAACACCATCCCAACCGTGAAGCATGGAGGTGGAAACATCATTCTTTGGGGATGCTTTTCTGCAAAGGGGACAGGACAACTGCACCGTATTGAGGGGAGGATGGATGGGGCCATGTATCATGAGATCTTGGCCAACAACCTCCTTCCCTCAGTAAGAGCATTGAAGATGGGTCGTGGCTGAGTCTTCCAGCATGACAACGACCCGAAACACACAGCCAGGGCAACTAACGAGTGGCTCTGTAAGAAGCATCTCAAGGTCCTGGAGTGGCCTAGCCAGTCTCCAGACCTGAACCCAATAGAACATCTTTGGAGGTAGCTGAAAGTCCGTATTGCCCAGCGACAGCCCCGAAACCTGAAGGATCTGGAGAAGGTCTGTATGGAGGAGTGGGCCAAAATCCCTGCTGCAGTGTGTGCAAACCTTGTCAAGACCTACAGGAAACGTATGATCTCTGTAATTGCAAACAAAGGTTTATGTACCAAATATTAAGTTCTGCTTTTCTGATGTATCAAATACTTATGTCATGCAATAAAATGCAAATTAATTACTTAAAAATCATACAATGTGATTTTCTGGATTTTTGTTTTAGATTCCGTCTCTCACAGTTGAAGTGTACCTATGATATAAATGATAGACCTCTACATGCTTTGTAAGTAGGAAACCCTGCAAAATCGGCAGTGTATCAAATACTTGTTCTCCCCACTGTACATATCCCAACCAGAAGCCATGGATTACAGGCAACATCCGCATCGAGCTAAAGGCTAGAGCTGCCGCATTCAAGGAGCGGGACACTAATCCTGACGCTTATAAGAAATCCCGCTACGCCCTCAGACGAACCATCAAACAGGCAAAGCGTCAATACAGGATTAAGATTGAATCCTACTACACCGGCTCTGACGCTCGTCGGATGTGGCAGGGCTTGAAAACTATTACGGACTACAATGCCACACTTATGTGAGAATGCTGTTCATTGACTACAGCTCAGCGTTCAACACCATAGTGCCCACAAAGCTCATCACTAAGCTAAGGACCCTGGGACTAAACACCTCCCTCTGCAACTGGATCCTGGACTTCCTGATGGGCTGCCCCCAGGTGGTAAGGGTAGGCAACAACACATCTGCCACGCTGATCCTCAACACTGTGCCCCTCAGGGGTGTGTGCTTAGTCCCCTCCTGTACTCCCTGTTCACCCACGACTGTGTGGCCAAACACGACTCTAACATCATCATTAAGTTTGCTGACGACGAAACAGTGGTAGGCCTGTTCACCAACAACGATGAGACCGCATATAGGGAGGAGGTGAGAGACCTGGCAGTGTGGTGCCAGGACAACAACCTCTCCCTCAATGTGAGCAAGACAAAGGAGCTGATCGTGGACTACAGGAAAAGGCGGGCCGAACAGGCCCGCATTAACATCGATGGGGCTGTAGTGGAGCGGGTCGAGAGTTTCAAGTTCCTTGGTGTCCACATCACCAACAAACTATCATGGTCCAAACACACCAAGACAGTCGTGAAGAGGACACGACAACACCTTTTCCCCCTCAGGAGACTGAAAAGATTTGGCATGGGTCCCCAGATCCTCAAAAGGTTCTACAGCTGCACCATCGAGAGCATCCTGACCGGTTGCATCACCGCCTGGTATGGCAACTGCTCGGCATCTGACCGTAAGGTCGCTACAGAGGGTAGTGCATACGGCCCAGTACATCACTGGGGCCAAGCATCCTGCCATCCAGGACCTATATACTAGGCGGTGTCAGAGGAAAGCCCCAAAAATTGTGACTCCAGTCACCCAAGACTGTCCAGTCACCCATTTGTTTTTACACTACTGCTACCCGCTGTCTATTATCTATGCATAGTCACTTTATCCCTACCTACATGTACAAATTACCTCGACTAACTTGTACCCCCGCACATTGACTCAGTACCGGTACCCCCTGTATATAGCCTTGTTATTGTTATTTTATTGTGTTTCTTTGTATTATTTGGTAAATATTCTCTTAACTCTTTCTTGAACTGCGTTGTTGGTTAAGGGCTTGTAAGTAAGCATTTCACGATAAGGTCTACACCTGTAGTATTCAGCGCATGTGACAAAGTTTGATTTGATTCGACTACTCTACTAGACAGTGCAGCATATGATGCGTCACCTCCACAGGTACTACCCTACTACACAGTGCAGCACCAAACTCCCACCCATTCTGAACATCTACTCAAAACGGTGCCTGAGGAAGGCCCACAGCATCATCAAGGACCCCACACACCCCAGCCACGAGCTGTTCACTCCATTACTGTCAGGAAGATGGTAACGGAGCATGAGGTCTGATACCAACAGGCTCAGAGACGGTTTCTATCCACATGCCATCAGACTGCTGAACACTTGAACTGGACTGACCACCTGCTCTGATTCTCCGCACCTTAGCACTCACTCACGTACAGTCGTGGTCAAAAGTTTTGAGAATGACACAAATATTAATTTTCACAAAGTCTGCTGCCTCAGTTTTTATGATGGCAATTTGCATATACTCCAGAATGTTATGAAGAGTGATCAGATGAATTGCAAAGTCCCTCTTTGCCATGAAAATGAACTTAATCCCATAAAAACATTTCCACTGCATTTCAGCCCTGCCACAAAAGGACCAGATGACATCATGTCAGTGATTCTCTCGAGTGTTGACGAGGACAAGGCTGGAGATCACTCTGTCATGCTGATTGAGTTAGAATAACAGACTGGAAGCTTTAAAAGGAGGGTGGTGCTTGAAATCATTGTTCTTCCTCTGTTAACCATGGTTACCTGCAAGGAAACACGTGCCGTCATCATTGCTTTGCACAAAAAGGGCTTCACGGGCAAGGATATTGCTGCTAGTAAGATTGCACCTAAATCAACCATTTATCGGATCATCAAGAACTTCAAGGAGAGAGATTCAATTGTTGTAAAGATGGCTTCAGGGCGCCCAAGAAAGTCCAGCAAGCGCCAGGACCGTCTCCTAAAGTTGATTCAGCTGCGGGATCGGGGCACCATCAGTGCAGAGCTTGCTCAGGAATGGCAGCAGGCAGGTTTGAGTGCTTCTGCACGCACAGTGAGGCGAATATTTTTGGAGGATGACCTGGTGTCAAGAAGGGCAGCGAGGAAGCCACTTCTCTCCATGAAAAACATCAAGGACAGACTGATATTCTGCAAAAGGTACAGGGATTGGACTGCTGAGGACTGGGGTAAAGTCATTTTCTCTGATGAATCCCCTTTCCGATTGTTTGGGGCATCCAGAGAAAAGCTTGTCCGGAGAAGACAGGGTGAGCGCTACCATCAGTCATGTGTCATGCCAACAGTAAAGCATCCTGAGACCATTCATGTGTGGGGTTGCTTCTCAGCCAAGGGAGTGGGCTCACTCACAATTTTGCCTAAGAACACAGCCATGAATAAAGAATGGTACCAACACATCCTCCGAGAGCAATTTCTCCCAACCATCCAATAACAGTTTGGTGACGAACAATGCTTTTTCCAGCATGATGGAGCACCTTGCCATAAGGCAAAAGTGATAACTAAGTGGCTCTGGGAACAAAACATCGACATTATGGGTCCATGGCCAGGAAACTCCCCAGACCTTAATCCCATTGAGAACTTGTGGTCAATCCTCAAGAGGCGGGTGGACAAACAAAAACCCACAAACTCCAAGCATTGATTATGCAAGAATGGGCTGCCATCAGTCAGGATGTGGCCCAGAAGTTAATTGACAGCATGCCAGGGCGGATTGCAGAGGTCTTGAAAAAGAAATGTCAACACTGCAAATATTAACTCTTTGCATAAACTTAATCTTTGCATAAACTTAATGTAATTGTCAATAAAAGCCTTTGACACTTATGGAATGCTTGTAATTATACTTCAGTATACCATAGTAACATCTGACAATAATATCTAAAAACACTGAAGCAGCAAACTTTGTGAAGACCAATACTTGTGTCATTCTCAAAACTTTTGACCACGACTGTACACACACACATATACAGTACATTCATGCTACACACACATCAGAACTGCTGCTACCAGACTCTTATTATGATTGGTAAATACTGCACAATCCCCCCTTCCCCAAAACACATGTATATTTCTAATTTATTTTTGTTGCATTGTCGAGAAGGAACCTGCAAGTAAGCATTTTGTTGGACGATGTATACCATGTGTATCCTGTACATACGACTTATATAACTTGGAACTTGAAACATGATGCGCCACCTACACAGATACTACTACAAACGGCAGCACATGATGCGCCACCTACACAGATACTACTACACACGGCAGCACATGATGCGCCACCTACACAGATACTACTACACACGGCAGCACATGATGCGCCACCTACACAGATACTACTACACACGGCAGCACATGATGCGCCACCTACACAGATACTACTAAACACAGCAGCACATGATGCGCCACCTACACAGATACTACTACACACGGCAGCACATGATGCGCCACCCACACAGATACTACTACACACGGCAGCACATGATGCGCCACCTACACAGATACTACTACACACGGCAGCACATGATGCGTCACCTACACAGATACTACTACACACGGCAGCACATGATGCGCCACCCACACAGATACTACTACACACGGCAGCACATGATGCGCCACCTACACAGATACTACTACACACGGCAGCACATGATGCGCCACCTACACAGATACTACTACACACGGCAGCACATGATGCGCCACCTACACAGATACTACTACACACGGCAGCACATGATGCGTCACCTACACAGATACTACTACACACGGCAGCACATGATGCGCCACCTACACAAGTAGCAAACCTGGTTGTAATGGAGATGGCTCTAGTGAACCATGCTCATAGACTTGTGTTAGCTCCCCAAAGTTATGCCGTGGCTTCAGCTCACTAGGAAAACAGATTATTGTGGCATGCAGCAGAACAGTCGGTCACATGGTCATAAGAGGGGTGCTGGGCCCTCCTCCAGATGGCCTTTTTTTTTATACCATACTCGATCCTCTCTTTTCTTCACTCATTTCACATTCTCTCTCTCTCTCTCCACAGAGTATCAGAGAACTACGAGGAGAACAAGATGTCTCCCAGTAACCTGGGCATCGTGTTTGGTCCGACCCTGCTGCGGCCGCTGGTGTCTGTAGACGTGTCCATGGTGGCTCTACTGGAGACCACCTACCAGGCCCTACTGGTGGAGTTCCTCATCACACACCACCAACACATCTTCGACGCTCCACCTCCCCCCGTCCCCACCGCCCCACTCCCTGACACCCCTTCCCGGGCGACGTGTTCAGGGGTGGCCCAGGAGACTGTTGTTGCGGCTGACCCTGGCTCTCAGGGCCCCCCCGCTGGAGGAGCCTCGTCCAGAGAACGCCCCCGCTCCCTAGAGGTAAGGGACAAACGGAGGGGGGATTCCGTTGTGTCAGACAAGTTCAATCAAGTAGAGCTTAAGTATTTGAATTCAAACATATCATTTGAACCCAGGTCTGGTTAACAGATGGGTTAACCCTTGGCGGATAGACAAATATAGACTTTTCAAATACTTTTCATAGACCCCCCTATACTGAAATACATTTAAATACAGATTTTCTCCAATGTTTTTCAATGGTTTGAATAGGAGGGCAATGTTAACCTCAATCAAACACTTAATTTTGAATCTGAGGTATCTTGATCACACATCTGGCAGCTGTAGGTTTGTCAGCCAGTGATTGGACCTCTAAGTCTAAGTAACATTGGGACGGCTCATGATGCCCTACAGTCAGACCTGGGTTCAGATACTATTAGAAAGTATTTCAAATACATTCAGCAGGCTTCATTGAGCTTGCCTGGTGCAATAGAACCAATAGAATAGTGACAAAACTGTAAACCCAGCCCACCTGGCCCTCCAGTAAGGCTAGAGCAACCACTCAAAGTATTTGAGATTTCAAATAATATTTGAACCCAAGTCTGCCTCAGAGCCAGGGTTCACAGATTTCAGTCTCAGCCTGCTGCCTTGAGCTGCTTTCCTTCATGTTGCTTCTGTTACCTGTTGTTGTCTCAAATGGGTAATCTGGGATTCAAATAACAAGAAAGTTGTCACTCCAGTCACTTTATTTGGTAAACAGCTGAGGGATGGGGCTGAAGAAATGTAACTAATGAGGCATTTACAAGGAATATTGTTCAAGAGTCAATGGCTATATCATTTATTCAAATTAAAAGTCCCAAAACAGATGTACCAATCCCAGATTGCCCCTTTAATGCTCCTGGCTCGGCCATGCTGTGACTCTGCTGTGGCCAACCCGGAAGGGATTACGTGCTTTTTTTTGTGAGGCTTAACACAATGCAACATTGGGGTGTGTGTGTGTGTATGCTACCTCTGACTGGACTCTGATCTGACCCTTCCTTTCCAGACCAGATCTACCCTGGCTGGGTCTCAATACTATATAATGGCTTCTTCTGTGAAATATAGTAAAATGAGTGTCAAATTCTTCCTCTTCTTCTTCTTCCTCTATTGTAAAATGACTTCCTTTCCTTTCTCCTTTGTTACCACTGATAGGCCAAAGGACTGGATACTCTGGGAAATGTAGGTTTCAAGGGTAGGAAAGGACATGAGGAGAGGAAGCAAGTTAAAGCTATTGAGACACAGCCCTAGCATGGATGTTCTTGGCCACTAAATACACAACACTGACCACTGGGAAATACTGGGAGGGTGTGGGGGGTGGAAGAGAAGGTTAGTGCCCTGCCCTCTACATGTGAATTTGGAGTTGTTTAGGGACATAAGGATTTTACTGTATTTTTTGCCTGAAAAACAGAACTGGGAGAACAAGTGACCATGCAACTTGATTTTCTCCAATAAGTAAAAAATAAAAATCCTGTTATATGTATAGGCTACTCAACATCCACAATTTACCTGGCAATCTCTCTGTAACCCAGTAGGGTTCACTTTCTAGGCCTAGAGCTATAGTATTGATCTCTCAACAGCATTCCATTCCCAACACATCCTATCCCAAATATCTGGTATCTATTCCCCAAAGTTTGTGTCATTTCTACAGACTCGCACAATCAAGAGAGACTCGAGCGAGGGTTATATATCTGACAAGTCGTCGTCCAATGAGGCAGTGGACCAGCTCAGCCCTGAAGCCAATGAGAGAGCAGGTAGGCGGGATGTACTATTGCATCAGAGGAATGGTTGGTTGGATTAATGGGTATTGTTGGTAAACAAGTGGGCTAGATGACTTTGCTGTTCTTATCTGATCTGTAATTTCCTTACTTAGCCTTTCTCGGCTGCCATCAAATATTTTGTCTGCTTGCTGCTCACTGTTTTTGTCATGTGTTATAGCGCCTTCTGCTGACTTGACTGTAGGCATTTTCTGCTTTCTTTTGCCAATATTCAACAGCCTCTCAAAAGCAATGCTAGCCCTAAACTCACACATCATGTTATGATAGAGCCAGAGTATTTACTTTGCCAAGCTAAAAGTGAAATACAGTGGTTCATCTGTGTTTCTCTGGTTTGTCTTATTGTCTCCTCTCCTCCCCCCTTGCTTCCCCAGTCGTGGCTGTGAGGGGGGCATCAACAGAGGCTGCTGCTCTGGGTGATCTGGTAGGGGATCCAGAGCCAGGGGACACTACCTCCGTGGGGACCCAGCTATGGAGCCACTTCAGCAGGCAGCCTGTCAAGTACCAGCGCCAGCCCACCCCGGGTCTCCGCCGCTCCGCAGGCACTACCAGGGCCGGGCAGCTCGGGGAAGAGGAAGAGGAGGATGAAGAGGAGGAGGAGAGGAGGAGGAACCAGTCGAGGAGCGCAGGCAGCAGCCGTAGCCCCTCCCTTGACCCTGGCAGCCAGAGGAGGAGAAGCCCTTCGATTGGAGCTACCCCCCGAGACCACCGCCCACCACCTGCTCAACCAGCCTGGAGGCCACGCCCCACTGAGCCAGACGGAAAGAGAGAAGACACGCCCATATGAGGTTCCACAGGGCAGGCTGCGGGCGGGGACAGTGGTAGTAGAACCATCAACAGCTGCAACAACAGCAGTAGAGGCAGAAGCCAATCCTACGCCGAGCACCGGTGCTCAGGAGGCGGGGCTTAGGAGTCGGTCAGCCACATTGTCTCAACTGAACATGAACCAGTCCAATAACAGGCAGGGGTGGGTGGGTGAGAGGCGGAGACAGGGCAGAGAGGAGGGTCTGAGTGGACCGGCCCGAAAGATCCTGTCAGGGCTGAAGCTCAGACGCAGCCACTCAGGACTGCAGCAACACTTTGTCTGAGGAGGAGGAAGGTTGGAACTTTGAACCATTAGAATTAGAATCACATTCGAGAACAGACATTCCCCATTCAAGTCAACGTTCCATGGACTGGCAGGATTCTATTTCTACGGTTAAACCCATAGAATGGATGAATTGTACTGTGTAACTTCAAGTGTTTTTAACAAATACAGTGAAAAATTACATACACTCATGATTGCTCCAGAATACTCATAAATACAGAACATACTAACATAGCTCATCACAGTGATGCACAGACATAAATGAACCGCTCATCAAAGGGCCTACTCACACATTGTTCATACTCACTGTCTATATACACAGACACACAGGGCCGAATCTTGACTTGAAATAATTAAGCCCTATACTGTATGTATAATCTGCATCAACATGCACTGCAATGATATCAACAGCAGGACTTCCGTGACAATTCCAGTCATGCACACTGTGCGTGTCTTCAATAGAAACCAAACTGAACCAAAAGGGGAGAAACTGGTAGCGCTTTATAATAACTCCACGTAATAAAGCATTTATAATGGATTAGTAAAAAGTTTATTCATCATTCATGAATCATTACTCCATTCATAAGATGTTTAATATGTTCATTTAAACCATTTACTAATCATTAGTTACGTCTTTTTGTGTGGCCTTATCTAAAGTGTGTGCTATTTACACTTTATAAATACTTTGTAAATGTTTTATAATAATATAATATATAATATAATATAATAATATAATATGCCATTTAGCAGACGCTTTTATCCAAAGCGACTTACAGTCATACGTGCATACATTTTTGTGTATGGGTGGTCCCGGGGATCGAACCCACTACCTTGGCGTTGCAAGCGCCGTGCTCTACCAGCTGAGCTACAGAGGTACTGCTGAGTTTTGAGTGACCAGGGTAATTTCTCACAAAAAGATTGACATTCCAGCAGTACCTGATGCTCCTTAAGGTCTGAGAATAGCCTAGAACATAGAGTATCAATGGTAAAAGAATAATCACACAACACGGGATGTTTAAAGGTCCAATGCAGACGTTTTTATCTCAATATCAAATAATTTCTGGGTAACAATTAAGTACCTTACTGTGATTGTTTTAAATTTAAATGGTCAAAAAGAAACAAAAAATATCTTCTTAGCAAAGTGTAATTTTGCTAGGACGGTCTAGGAGTGGTCTAAGTGGGGAGGGGAACACTGAAAAACTAGCTGTTATTGGCAGAGAGGTTTGGAACTCTTTCTTATTGGTCTATTAACTCATTTACCGCCAGGCAGGCTAAAACTCCATCCCACCAAAATAGCCTGAAAAAACAAACAAAGGGTCTCACACTAAAAGGGCATTATCATAATTTTCACAATTTCACACTATTATTCCAACCTCATAGTGTGGAAATATATACAGTACCAGTCAAAAGTTTGGATACACCTACTCATTCAAGGGTTTTTCTTTATTTTTACTATTTTCTACATTGTAGAATAATAGTGAAGACATCAAAACTATGAAATAACACATATGGAATCATATAGTAACCAAAGAAGTGTTAAACAAGTCAAAATATATTTGAGATTCTTCAAATAGCCACCCTTTAACTTGATGACAGCTTTGAACTCTCATGGCATTCTCTCAACCAGCTTCATGAGGTAGTCACCTGGAATGCATTTCAATTAACAGGTGTGCCTTTTTAAAAGTTAATTTGTGGAATTTCTTTCCTTCTTAATGCGTTTGAGCCAATCAGTTGTGTTGTGACAAGGTAGGGGGGGTATACAGAAGATAGCCCTATTTGGTAAAATACCAAGTCCATATTATGGCAAGAACAGCTCAAATAAGCAAAGAGAAATGACAGTCCATCATTACTTGAAGACATGAAGGTCAGTCAATACGGAAAATTTGCAGTCGCAAAAACCATCAAGCGCTACGATGAAACTGGCTCTCATTTGGACAGCGACATGAATGGAAGACCCAGAGTTAACTCTGCTGCAGAGGATAAGTTCATTAGAGTTACCAGCCTCAGAAATTGCAGCCCAAATAAATGCTTCACAGAGTTCAAGTAACAGACACATCTCAACATCAACTGTTCAGAGGGGACTGTGTGAATCAGGCCTTCATGGTCGAATTGCTGCAAAGAAACCAATACTAAAGGACACCAATAAGAAGAAGAGACCTGCTTGGGTCAAGAAACATGAGCAATGGACATTAGACCGGTGGAAATTTGTCCTTTGGTCTGGAGTCCAAATTGGAGATTATTGGTTCCAATCACCGTGTCTTTGTGAGACGCGGTGTGGGTGAACGGATGATCTCTGCATGTGTATTTCCCACCGTGAAGCATGGAGGAGGAAGTGTTATGGTGTGAGGGTGCATAGCTGGTGACGCTGTCTGTGATTTATTTAGAATTCAAGGCACACTTAGCCAGCATGGCTACCACAGCATTTTACAGCGATACGCCATCCCATCTGGTTTGGGCTTAGTGGGACTATCATTTGTTTTTCAACAGGACAATGACCCAACACACCTCCAGGCTGTGTAAGGGCTATTTTACCAAGAAGGAGAGTGATGGAGTGCTGCATCGGATGACCTGGCCTCCACAATCCCCCGACCTCAACCCAATTGAGATGGTTTGGGAAGAGTCGGACCGCAGAGTGAAGGAAAAGCAGCCAACAAGTGCTCAGCATATGTGGGAACTCCTTCAAGACTATTGGAAAAGCATTCCAGGTGAAGCTGTTTGAGAGAATGCCAAGAGTGTCCAAAGCTGTCATCAAGGCAAAGGGTGGCTATTTGAAGATTCTCAAATATAAAATATACTTTGATTTGTTTAACACTTTTTTTGTTTACTACATGATTCCATATGTGTCATTTCATAATTTTGATGTCTTCACTCTTATTCTACAATGTAAAAAATAGTAAAAATAAAGAAAAGTCCTTGAATGATTAGGTGTGTCCAAACTTTGACTGGTAGTGTATAAAACACAAGAAAATCTAGTGTTTGGCTGCACTGGGCCTTTAAGGAAATATATCAAACATGTTATTCACAAAAATGGTTGTAAAACAACTGTTGCAAGGACATGAGGAAGAGCTGTAATGTAGAGTTCTGCACCAGACCGATTTATTCATCCCGCTCCCACCTGCACCTGCTCCCTTCCGCAGCTTTTCATGCTACACCCGCCCACACCTGCTGGCTGTCTGTCCGACTCCCACCCACTACTGCAAGAAGTGGTCCCGAACCCAAATGCAGTCCCGCAATGTTATTTTAGGGATATGTGACGCAGCTCACTCTACCCTGTCTCCCGCGAGAATGCAGCCCTCTATTGTAATGTGAATGTATTGCTAATGTTGTCAACCTCGCGAACGAAAACGAATCATAAAACAGGGAGATGTAGGCAGTTTTTATCTCTATTCCTTCAATACTACTGATAGGCCTATGTTATTGAGGTAGAAATGTTCCATGTATGATTTACATGTAGAAATGCTACATGTATAACTTTTAAATGCTTCCAGTGCTTCAGTCTTTTAACCACAGACTATTTTCACACATGGCTTTGTTTGGTGGCACTTTTACTGGGCCTTTAAAGGTATTAACTCTTTAAACATAATGGGATAATTCAGCGAAATTATGATTTCAGATATTTGTTTCCCTACCTCGAAAGCAGTCTATAGACTTCTCTAAGGAGTGACTGCAATCCACACTTTGGTTTTGGTAGAAATGTCACTGCCAAGAAACGCTAATGTTAGCATTTCAGACCAAAAAACGTTATTTCACTCAGCATAGAGTGTGTCTGCAGTTACACATCACACTATTACAACAGTGTGACTGTTTTGGAATAAAATGTTAAATATATTTCAACATCCTCTGAATTGTGTGCTTATTGTTTAATCATTGCTATGTTCTAGGGGCCATTTTGAAACCTTCAGGAGCAGGAGGTACTAATAGAATGTCTACCAATGAATGGCATGTCCCGTCTTTTTGTGAGAAATTACACTGGTCACTCAAAGCATTTATAAAGTATAAATAGCCCACACTATAGATCAGGCCACGCAAAAATACTGAACTAATGATTAGTAAATGGTTTATATGGACCTACAATACCGGTCAAAAGTTTTAGAACACCTACTGATTCAATAATATAATAATAGTGAAGACATCAAAACTATGAAATAACACATATGGAATCATGTAGTAACCAAAAAAGTGTTAAACAAATCAAAATATATTTTATATTTGGATTCTTCAAATAGCCACCATTTGCCTTGATGACAGCTTTGCACACTTGGCATTCTCTCAACCAGCTTCACCTGGAATGCTTTTCCAACAGTCTTGAAGGAGTTCCCACATATGCTGAGCACTTGTTGGCTGCTTTTCCTTCACTCTGCGGTCCGACTCATCCCAAACCATCTCAATTTGGTTGAGGTCGGGGGATTGTGGAGGCCAGGTCATCTGATGCAGCACTCCATCACTCTCCTTCTTGGTCAAATAAATAAACAAATGACAGTCCCACTAAGCCCAAACTAGATGGGATGGCGTATCGCTGCAGAATGCTGTGGTAGCCACGCTGGTTAAGTGTGCCTTGCATTCTAAATAAATCACAGACAGTGTCACTTGCAAAGCACCCCCACACCATAACACCTCCTCCTCCATGCTTTACGGTGGGAAATACACATGCAGAGATCATCTGTTCACCCACACCGCGTCTCACAAAGACACGGCGATTGGAACCAAAAATCTCAAATTTGGACTCCAGACCAAAGGACAAATTTCCACCCATCTAATGTCCATTGCTCGTGTTTCTTGGCCCAAACAAGTCTCTTCTTCTTATTGGTGTCCTTTAGTAGTGGTTTCTTTGCAGCAATTCGACCATGAAGGCCTGATTCACACAGTCTCCTCTGAACAGTTGATGTTGAGATGTGTCTGTTACTTGAACTCTGTGAAGCATTTAATTGGGCTGCAATTTCTGAGGCTGGTGACTCTAATGAACCTATCTCTCTCTATATAGTGTGTATATGTTGAGTCACT